CAAAATAATGACAAGGGCACAGTTTCACTGAACCGAGCATTGTGCCCTTTAGCAGGCACTGCGTAGCGATTTCTCCGATCAAGGGCGTCATTATAACACCCTATTAAGCTGCAACTCGTCGACCCAGACGCCCGCTACACCTCCTTTAAATGGCCGTCCAGTCACATCTGCGCTGTCACTCTTATCGCTTCACTTATAAAGTACAATTGATATGAAGCTTGTTTTGCCTTTATATGAATACACCAGTCGGATCGCCCAGCTGTCGCCGGGCGCTCCTCCTTCTGTGACATGGCCCGGCTTCGCCGGGCGCGGATTTGCCGCGTGCTAAGTTACGGATCGTTGACCAACCACACTGTTCAAAGGAATGTTCTGCATCAGCCAAGAACTAGCAGCGCCCGTTTTGTCAAGACGCAGAAGCAACAGCAGCGCCCGTCGCATAAGTGTGTGTCCGTGTCTGTCACGAAATTCATAGCGCCGGTCCCAGTAACAGTGAGACATTGATTCCAAGAAGTGATGTAGGGGGTGTGACGGGAACACTATTGGTGGGTGACAGGAAGTGATATCAGTTGATAAGATTCGATAAGGGGTCTCGGAAGGGGAATATCACCAAACAATTTAATCAATTCCGTGGAGGTTTCCACCTTGGTGAGCAGCATTACATTTTGTAAGTTTGGGAAGCGAAACGGCACAATCTCGTAACGGTGCAAGTCACACATTCGTGCAGTAGTAGCACGATCTTAGTGTACTGAGGAATCTGCTCAGTTTTTGGCTTCTTCTGGAGCTAACAGCAGGTTCTCAAACCGCAGCTATATCCATCCCCAAGACGTCATATGTCATCCCTATCTAACCCATGTTACACTTTGATAGTTTTTTCGACTGAGGTGGATGATCTTAGCAGTACCCTCCTCTTCGTTGGAGGCTCCTCATCGTAGGACATTTGAGCCGTTTAAGGGGATCCACATTGGTCTGGAGATGGCATGAACTAAGGGGTATGGCAGGTAATTGCTTTTTATGATCTAGTATGCACACAACATTGACAAGTTCTGCTCTGAAAAAATGGCAGCAGAGAAGTGCTGAGGCGGAGGTGGTGTAGTGTCAAGTGGCACACTTAGTACGAGATCTGGAGGTCAAATCCCGGCTTTCGCTTGGGTCAGCCAAGAATTCTATCATCTGGGGGCGGCAAAGAGAACCCAGGAGGGTTATCACACTGGCTGGCCTCCGCAAGTCATTGTATTGGCCACATCGCATTCAATAAGCTGCTGCGATTCTGACTGATGGTATGAGTGCTGCATCCCAAAAAGAGGACTTGATCAGCGGCAAAGACTTTGTCTTTATCTCTTCGGAGGAAGGTAGCGAGGTAGGTGAGGTTATACCTTGAGGTTAAGTTGCGTCATAGTTGATGATGACGAGGTCCTGCTAGAGGTCTGAATTTTCTCGAGGGGGCGAACCTGGCTCCGCGCGCTGTTCTGAACGGGCACCGACTTCTGTGCGTGATTCTGGTGCGGTGATTTCCCGTAAGTTTGTAGTAGGATTCAAGCAGAACTTTTGAGCGACATAGTTGTGCAGTATCGCTCCTCATGTTTTCATTGCCAAGCGTCCTCTCTAGCGCAGCTGTTGTGAAACATACTGTTTTCCCGTAGAATTCTGCTTACACATGCATATACTCTCTGAACAGTTCGTTCGCATAACATCACTCACACAACAAAACCTACGAAGTGTGGCCCCACTATGGCAACAACTGGAACGTTGCGGCCGTCACGGCAACTTACTTGAAGACCCACCAGATTTGTGATGTCAATTGTTTCACTTCTGCGGGAGTTCCTTCTGGCATAGCCGGCATATTGCATTTACGAATCATAGTCGCAATTTTCTTTGGTGGATCGTCTGGCCAAGGTTTCATGCCTTGGTTGAAAATCTGAAGCAGATTGTCAGTGATATTCTTCAGATACTCTGGCTTTTCCTCGTATTTTCTTTTCATCTTCTCTTTCCGTTCATAATGAAGCATCAAATGTATGGAAATCTCGCTGCTGCGACGATGAGCAAAGAGCGTAAAGGAGGGGGTATCTAAAGGATAGAAACCGCCCTCCCGAACCAAGGCAGGCCAACGACGGGCTACAGCAACCTGTGCATCCGATATGAGGACACGTACGTAGGCGTGAAGGAAGAGGGGTGTGCTTCAGGACTGGTGAATTACACTGAATGACTCGGAGTTGAGGTAGTGGCAAGTGCTCGCGCGGTCCTGGGGTCACTTGACCTGAAGTGGCTCTCGCCCATGCTGACCAAGCCTTCCACCCTCAGGAGTAGCTAAATTGGCTCCACATTCTTCTGTGGGAATGAAAGCACAGACTAAAGCCTGATACTTTCCCATCCCGTTTGGATGACTCTACTCCTTCAACCTGCTCTTCAACGCGGAATCCTTTAAATGCTCCCCTTCCAAGGTTATTTCCCTCTCGATAATTTTACTTGGTCATACTGTTGACTTCTTTCACGAACCTCGTACATCATAACAGCAAACGACCAGACATCTGTCTTTGTACTGAATTTCATTGGACGTTTGAGCGACTCAGGAGCCATCCATCTGCAATAAACCTGTTAAAGCGAGGATCTGCTAGAGAATGCTGTACTTCTACAGCCAGTCGTTTTCATGGCAACCTTAGCGGTATCTGAGGACTTGGCTCATCCTTGTCTCCTTCTTCTTTTTCTTTATCTTCTTGCTTCTCCAGGTCATTGACAAGCTTCGACAGTCCAAAATCCGCAATTTTCATGCTTCCTGAACAAGGATCTGTGAAAGTTAGTGGAGCTATCTTTCTTTACTATCTCTTTCCTTCTAGCTTTCAAGTGCCGAGTTATTAACCCTCCATTATCACCGTACATATATGATCTGGAAAACTCACACTATACTACAATTTTTGAAAAGTTGGCGAACCTTTTGCCGATATCAAACAATTTCGAGCGGCTAGATCCCGGTGAATACAATTCTTCCTGTGCAAGTATCTCATCCCTCGTGCGGCCTGAAACATCCATTGAGGTTCGACCGTCTCCAGTTACTTGTCTGTAAGCTATAATCCACTTACTTCTATTGTATAAACAATCCTTTCTCCAACCTCTATGGCAGCTTTTTGTTTCTTTAGATGAGATTGTAAGTCTCCACCAGGACAATACTCCATGACGATCAGTATGGGCGGATGATCGCACGCTACACCGAACATCTGCAGCTCTCATTTTTATGAGTTACCTTGCTTTTTGTCAAGAAAATATCCCACAACAAGTATTCCGCCAGTATGCGTGCGCAGTTGGGTCTGTCTGTCTGTCAGAAATCAAGAAATTAATGACGCGCGTCACGAAAACTGTGGCACGTCTGTTCCGAAATGGTGTAGGATGTGTGGCGGAAGCATTATCGGTGGGAGACAGGAAGCAACGAAAGCCGATAAGGTCCGATCGAGGGCTTCAGGGGACTCGATAAAGCGCAATGTTATGGCCTAATAAATACAACCAAACATGAGGATGCGGTTTCCAGAATCCGCGCTCCATCCCAGTGCTGGTTTCAAATTATTTCTTTCAGTGAATGGGTGTTTTTCTTTTCACTCGAATTTGCTCCGGAAAGTGGAAAGTATATGTGCGGTGAGCCTTCTGCAGGGTTTAGACCGTACAATGAGTTAGCAGGATTCTCACCTCAATGATATGATTGTGGACGTAGTAACTCATCATCTGCGCCTCGCTCAGCATCTGATCTCGTGCCTCTTTGGTTTCTTGAAATCCTTTTGAGACTGATCCTTCATGGCATATCTAAAGTTTGCATCCAAAGGTTTCACAGGAAAATATGTAAAATGTTTGATTGCTCATGTGAACCCATCGCGTTGCTGATCATGAGTAGGACCTTCTGGTCCTGCTTTTCCCCATGTGAGCCAATCTAGATGTGTTCAACACTGACTCTTGTTTCGGTCTGCGGCTCAAGCCGCACGGCTAGGGGAGAGAGAGAAAGTTTACCTCTAAGGTGTTTCTAAGAGGGCTAAATTTTGTCGTCAATGAACGAACCTTCACGGCCACTGTGATCTTCTCATCAGGCGTCCGCGCTAGTACTCCTTTATAGACGTTACAGAAATTACCCTTGCCAAGGAGATCCTAGAACAGCTCCTGTGTTGGTTTGTTGATCCAAATGAAATGACGCAACTTCAGAGGTGTATATTTGAGGGAAAATGGCGTAATTAGGCACTCCATTCCCGAACCGTTGAGCATGGAGGGCTTTGATGGTCTCGGGCTTGACGGACTCTGACCACGAAAGTCCGCCAAATTACCATGGAGCTTTGGAGGAGACCTGGGTAGATCGATAGAGTCTATAAGGTTATTTACAAATATAGATAGCAAAACTGCAACCTGCATTTCACAAGCAACTTATGAGCAGGTAAAGTGGTGCAGTAGGGTGGAGGCTTGGTGGTGAGCTGTGAAGCATAAGCGAGGAATCGCATACGTCGAATCGAGTCGTCGAACGTCGAACCTTACCACTGAACCACCACGACTCGACGTATGCGATTCCTCGCTTATGCTTCACAGCTCACCACCAAGCCTCCACCCTACTGCACCATTACAAACTTTACCTGCTCATAAGTTGCTTGTGAAATGCAGGTTGCAGTTTTGCTATCTATATTTGTAAATAACCTTATAGACTCTATCGATCTACCCAGGTCTCCATTCAAAGTTCCATGGTAAGTTGGCGGACTTACCCTGGTGAGATTCGACCCTCAGACCGCACTTATGGTACATGGCCCGTCTAGCTCTTATATCTCCTCCGCTCAATACGTTCCATCGCGTTGAGCGGAAGCACCTGTGAGGTCGTATCTAGGTCGTGCGGAAGGGAGAGGTACCTGGCACAAGAGAAATTTTTCCGTTTTGAGCGGGCCTTAGGAGTTTACCACAACCGTCCTCTCGAGGGCCAGAACTTGGAAACCTCGTTTCGAGCGTGTTTGGTCATGGAAGAGAAGCAGATAACTTGTATAAGGTCGTTGAGGTTGGATATGGGGAGGTCGTTGGTACCGCCATACCGGCGCTGTATCCTAGCCCAACAGATTGCTCGAGAGATGCGTCAGAGCAGGGAGCCAAGTGAAAGAATAGACTACTGCAAGGAAAGCATGACTGTGGCTCTGTAGCGCTGAGCGCTCAACAGTTAATGATGCCAACCTTATCTTTGTCAAATGTAACATGTTCATGTTTAATCAACCAAGTGGGTCGTGTAATTCCGTGCTTTAATCGAGCGTGTCCCGGAAGTCTGTGATCCTGAAAAGAAGTCGTGCGTTAGCAGTGCGTAGACTTTTTGACTTTTACCTTTTTATTCCCCGAAACACATTACTTAAAGTTTCGGCACAATCGAAGACAAACTGTGCTCTCACCTCCGAGGACTTACTTGCTATGAGCGAAGTGAATAGGGTCGCTGACGTTCTACGTTCTCCGGTCAGAAGTGCATAGCAACGATGCGGGACGCCAGTGGTACTTAGGGGCCGTCTCCTCTGGGTCAGGCATTACGCCTCAAAATATGGGGTGGGAGAGGGGGGTTTGGTACGACATCCCCCTATTAAGGAATGTCCGTACGACCACCTTCCTTAAGTGGCTGGTGAGTGTGTGGAGGTATCTGCTGTGCTCCAGGATTTAGCTATATATGCTGTGCTGTGCTTTTCAAAATTTTACCTACTGAGTATGAGTATCTAAGAACATTTACCAAACCAGGCGTTCAGAGTCACACGAAAATTGAAATATTAGTAGTGTAATGCATGGAATGAAACTTCAAAAAACCGAAAAGTGACGCCGTCTAAACGGAATAACACAAATCCGAGACATTGAGCACGGGTATGCGGCAAGAGAATCGTGACTCGCCGCGCCAGTGGGCGTCGCGTGCGACGTTGCGCCTTCTAGTGACGACGATTTTAGGTGGTACAGGTCGAGAATAGTCAATGTAAGACCAGAAATAGAGAGAAATGTTCACCATGCACTTGTCTACATGAAATCAGATACTGCAGTCGAAAGGGTAGTGCAAACTGAGGGAACGTCGCGCCTTCTGCCAATCGCGACGAGGCGACAATTTACGGGTCTCTTGCCCGTCTCCCACTGAGCGCCGCGGCCGCGTTGCATGAGATCGAGCGCTATTGGCCCAATGCATCCACATACTATTTTTGAAGTGGTATAAATTCATTCAGAAACCATCTTTCACTGAACGATAAGGACAGTTCAGCTGTATGGCCAGGCTTTATAGGAAGTTCCCTGTAGGATACATCAAGCATGCATGACGACCTCTGGCCGGAAAATAATGCGGAATTTTCGGCAAACGCGAGTTTTTCTACCTTTCATGGGTCAGAGATTTGTTCAGACATAACGTAGAAAGGAGATCTACACGGCGTTGGGGAAAAGGGCCGGTCTTCCACTTGAAAGTGAGCTTAAGCTGCATCATGAAGATCTTACCTCTGCAGAGCTCACATTTACATATAGAAAGCTCACAGGGCCTCCCGTACACCTTCTCCTCATGTAGTGAGTAATAGCTGAAGCTTAAAGGAGCTGAACAGCACTTCCGTAGAAACGCGCCATGAACCCGAGTTCCTTTTCGAACGCATCACTCATGCAAGCTACATCACTGCTGTATTAACTGCTGGTTTCTGCAAATACGCCTCACCTCCCGAAGTAAGCATATGCGACCCCCCCTCTCCATCGCGTATTCCGCAACGTATGTTCGACCGTGGTGTACAGTTTGCCTTTGGGTTTGTGTTGTGTTAGACTCCAGGAATGAGCGAGATGGGAGTCAGCCGGACTCGACTCGGGGGCTTCAAGCGGGCTCTTTTGTTTTTTCTAAGTTGATAAGCGCCTGCGCGTTCGTGCTATTTACCTTTATCTTTACCACCTTTATTAGTTCATATACTTCCATCAGTCTTTGGAAGATAGTAAACTTTTCAAAGGCACACTACACGCCCATTCCACGCCAACCCTTTGAGTAAAGTCATCTGTCCCAATGCGCCCTTCCAGTGGCAAGCTCCTTCCAGAACCGTGTTTATACCTTGCGGCGGCGTTCACCAGCAAACACTAGCATTCCGAGCGTCCGGCAGCATCAGCGACTAGGAACGTAAAGATATCTAGCGCCAGCAGCGTCTACCAGCGCTTATCAACGACCAGCAGCGTCCAGGAGATGGGGCGATAAAAGGATGGCAGACAGCTGGTAGCGTATGGGGAGATAGGATGATAGCAGTCTGCTGGTAGAGAGTATGGGGCGGTAGGAGGGTACCAACTGTTCGCTATCCTCTTACACTCCCTCCACACTCTCTACCAGGACGCTTTCCTTTCTTGGACGCTGCTGGGCGCTGAT